CGGTGAGGGCCCCCGGAGGCCGAAAACAGCGACGAACCTCCCATCATGATATTTTCCACAGCGCGCGGGGGTCTGGGAAGCACGCGCGTTCTTTTCCTGACGTGGGAACGCGCACGAAGCCGAAACGCGCACGGGGAGTGGACGCCCGAGCGATGGCGAGCAGCCCGACACGCACATGGCGATGGCGCAGGGCAGGCCGTGCGGCGGCGGGCAGCCTCCTTGCGGGGCCAGAGGGAGGGCCGCCGCTGGCCCCAGGCCCGGCCACCCCCCCCCGGGGCCATGTCGCCGCTGTCCCCAGGCCAGGCCCCCTCGGGGCTCTGAAGAGATCAGGCCGCGGGAGGTTTGTCGCCGTTTTCGGCCTCTGGGGGCCCCAACGGGGCCTCGGGACCGTCAAGAAACGACTCAGGAGGAAAAACCGGTCCAGGGGAAGGGGTCGAGACCTCTGGGGGTCGACGTTGTGAAAAACTCCTGACGTCGGGGGTCTGGGTTTTCGGGGCCCCGGGACCCTCCCAGGTCGATGCGGCTCGAAAGCGGCCGAAAACATAGCGAAACACCTCCCGTCCGGAGCTTTTTCCCAACGCGAGAGGGGGTCTGGGAAGCTCGGCGAAAGCGCCTGGCTCGGAGAAACTGGGGCCTCAGGATCCCAGGGTAGGGGAAGGAGGAGGAGGAGGAGGAGGAGGAGGAGAGGAGGGGAGGAGGAGGGGAGGAGGAGGAGGAGGAGGAGAGGAGGAGGATGACGCGGAGGAGGAGGAGGGGAAGGAGGAGGAGGAGGAGAGGAGGAGGAAGGAGAGGAGGAGGAGGAGGAGGAAGGATGCTCGCGGAGGAGGAGGAGGAGGAGGATGCGGAGGAGCCGCGGAGGAGGAGGCGGCAGGGAGGATGAGGAAGGAGGGAAGGAGGAGGACCACCAGGAAGGAGGAGGAGGAGGGAGGATGGAGGGCGGAGGAGGGAGGAAGCGGGGAGGAGGAGGAGGAGGAGCGAGGAAAGGGGAGGAGACGGAGATGGAGGGAGGCGGAGGAGGAGGAGGAGGAGGCGGAGGAGGATCGAGGAGGAGGCGGAGGAGGCCGCCCGCAGCCGCGTCGGCCCATGCGCCCGAGGCTCCCCAGCCAGCTCCGCCTCGCAGCACTGCGGCCGATGCGCACCGAGCGCGCTCCACTGCCCGCAGAGAGCCTCTGCGCGCAAACGTCGGGAAAAAAGTCACGTCGTGCTTCCCAGGCCTCCTCCTCCTCCTCCTCCTCCTCCTCCTCCTCCTCTGCCGCCGTCTCCTCCTCCTCCTCTCTCGCCTCCTCCTCCGCCTCCTCCTCGATCCTCCTCCTCCGCCTCCTCCTCCTCCTCGATCCTTCTCCTCCTCCTCCTCCTCCTCCTCCTCCTCCTCCTACCATGTGACCCGGGCGCCTTAGTTTTTCCGAGCCAGGCGCTTTCGCTGAGCTTCCCAGACCCCCTCGCGCTGTGACAAAATCGCGACGGGAGGCTCGTCGCCGTTTTCGGCCTCCGGGGGCCCTTGCCGGGCTTCGGTGCGGGTCGACGTTGCGAGAAAATCACGACGTCGGGGGTCTGGGTGGATTGGCTCGATGGTCCAGGATGCTCCTCGGGAGGGCTCGATGGGTTTCGGCCTCCAGGGGCCCTTGCCGGGCCTCGGGGTCCCGTCCAAGAGCGACTCGGGATGACAAGCCGGTCCTGGGGGGGAGGGTCCAGACGCCCAGACCTCCGGGGGTCGACGCTGTGAACAAAATTATCCCGGCAAAGCAACCTAACAGCGATGTGTAGGAGCATATCTGGAAGCATTCCCCTTAAGATTCAGATGAGAATAAGTTGTAGAATTCTGCTGTTCTCGCAGTCGTAGTCGCATTCGCGATGACAGTCGCAGTGGCAACGGCAGTCGCAGTCACAGCCTCGGCCTCAGCCTGCCTCAGCCTCAGCCTCAGCCTGCCTCAGCCTCAGCCTGCCTCAGCCTCAGCCTGGCATCAGCCTCAAGCCTCAGCCTGCTTCAGGCCTCAGCATCAGTCTTTTGTTGCCTTCAGCCTCGGCCTCAGCCTCAGCGTGTGCCTCAGGCATTCAGCCTCTGCCTTAGCCTCAGCATCAGCCCTTGCCTCAGGCCTGCCCAGCCTCAGCCTCCCTCCTTCAGCCTCAGCCTCAGCCTGCCTTCAGCTCGGCCTCAGCCTCAGGCTTGCCTCAGGGCTCAGCAGCCTGCGTCAGCCTCAGCTCGGGTGCTGAGCCTCAGCATCAGTCTGCCTTCAGCCTCGGCGCCTGCATCAGACTCGCCTCAGCCTCAGCGCCTTCAGCCTCAGCATCAGTCTGCCTTCAGCTCTGGCCTAGCCTCAGCTCTGAATGAAGCCTCAGCCTCAGCCTCAGCCTGCCTCAGCATCAGCCTGCCTCAGCCTCAGCCTCAGCCTCAGCCTGCTTCAGCCTCAGTCTGCCTTCAGCCTCGGCCTCAGCCTCAGCCTGCATCAGCCTCAGCCTGCATCAGCCTCAGCCTCAGACCCAGCCTGCCTCAGCATCAGCCTGCCTCAGCCTCAGCCTCAGCCTGCCTCAGCCTCAGCCTCAGCCTCAGCCTGCTTCAGCCTCAGCCTCAGTCTGCCTTCAGCCTCGGCCTCAGCCTCAGGCTGCCGCAGCCTCAGCCTGCATCAGCCTCAGCCTCAGCCTCAGCCTGCCTCAGCATCAGCCTGCCTCAGCATCAGCCTCAGCCTGCCTCAGCCTCAGCCTCAGCCTGCTTCAGCCTCAGCCTCAGTCTGCCTTCAGCCTCGGCCTCAGCCTCAGCCTGCCTCAGCCTCAGCCTGCATCAGCCTCAGCCTCAGCCTCAGCCTGCCTCAGCATCAGCCTGCCTCCGCCTCAGCCTCAGCCTGCCTCTGCCTCAGCCTCAGCCTGCTTCAGCCTCAGCCTCAGTCTGCCGTCGGCCTCGGCCTCAGCCTCAGCCTGCCTCAGCCTCAGCCTGCATCAGCCTCAGCCTCAGCCTCAGCCTGCCTCAGCATCAGCCTGCCTCAGCCTCAGCCTCAACCTGCCTCAGCCTCAGCCTCAGCCTCAGCCTGCCTCAGCCTCAGCCTCAGTCAGCCTTCAGCCTCGGCCGCAGCCTCAGCCTGCCTCAGCCTCAGCCTGCATCAGCCTCAGCCTCAGCCTCAGCCTGCCTCAGCCTCAGCCTCAGCCTGCCTCAGCCTCAGCCTCAGCCTGCTTCAGCCTCAGCCTCAGTCTGCCTTCAGCCTCGGCCTCAGCCTCAGCCTGCCTCAGACTCAGCCTGCATCAGCCTCAGCCTCAGCCTCAGCCTGCCTCAGCATCAGCCTGCCTCAGCCTCAGCCTCAGCCTCAGCCTCAGCCTGCTTCAGCATTCAAAAGTGGCCCGGGAATGGGTTTGGGGGAACAACGACGTGGCCTTACAGTTGGCTCCCGGCACTATCCAAAATCATGCCAAGGAATGGAGTTCTGGGAACTCGAAGACCACGAAGTGGCCTACAGTTGGCTCCGGGCATTCAAAGTGTGGCCCGGGAATGGAGTTCTGGGAACTCGACGAGCACGAAGTGGCCTACAGTTGGCTCCCGGCATTCAAAATCATGCCCAGGAATGGAGTTCTGGGAATTCGAAGACCACGAAGTGGCCTACAGCTGGCTCCGGGTATTCAAAGTGTGGCCCCTGAATGGAGTTCTGGGACCTCGAAGACCACGAAGTGTGTAACTGTTTGCTTAAAACGACTTCCGCGGATTCTCCCCGGATCCTGCCCGGACCCCCCCGGGGAGTCATGATGCTTTCTTTTGAGACCATTAGAAACCTATCAGTCTTCGCTGTTAGGTAATCACGACGTATAGGGGGTCTGGGCAGTGCCCACGCGCGAACGTCAAGCAAAAGCACGCGCTTGCCTCGATGTAGTGGATCGCAGATCCCAATACCTCCTCGCGTTGAGAACAAAATCGCGACGGGAAGTGTTTCGCTATTCTCGGCCTCCGAGGGCCCTCACCGGGCCTCGGGACCGTCAAGAAACGACTCAGGAGGAAAAACCAGTCCAGGGGAAGGGGTCGAGACCTCTGGAGGTCGACGTTGTGAAAAACTCCTGACGTCGGGGGTCTGGGTTTTCGGGGCCCCGGGACCCTCCCAGGTCGATGCGGCTCGAAAGCAGCCGAAAACATAGCGAAACACCTCCCGTCCGGAGCTTTTTCCCAACGCGGGAGGGGGTCTGGAATGCTCGGCGAAAGCGCCCGGCTCGGAGAAACTGGGGCGCCGGGGTCCCAGGGTAGGAGGAGGAGGAGGATCGAGGGGAAGGGAAGGTCCCGGGAAAGGGGTCCAGACCTCTTGGGGTCGACGTTGTGATCAAAATCACGACGTCGGGGGTTTGGGCCTCCCGCGGCGGATCCCGGCCAAGTGCGAGGAGTTTCTCTGCGAGGAGTGGAGCGCGCTTCCCAGACATGCGACGTCCGGATGTTTTTAGTGCTTAGTGCGGGGTCCCTGGAAGTCCTGACCCTTTCCCCAGGACCGGTGCTTCATCCTGAGTCGTTTTTAGCAGCCCCGAGGCCCGGCGAGGGCTCCCAGGGGCCGCAAACGGCCACAAACATCCCGTTCAGATTTCTTCCACGACGCGATCATGTCTGGGTTGTCTAGATGCCCTCGGCGCCGTGCTGGCGCCGTGCTGGCCGATGCCTCGGCGTCGTGCTGGAGGTGGGCGTGGTGCCCCTGCACCGCGCGACGCCCTGGGTGATCGGGCAGTGCCAAGGGTTGGCGGCGAGCCCAGGGGGGAATGCCAGAGGGGGCCCAAGCATGATCGCGTCGTGTGAAAAGCAGGGTGGGAGGTTTTCGCCAGTTTTCGTTCTCGAGGGGCCCTCGCCGGGCCTCGGGACCCTCCGAAAACGATGCAGGATGAAGAACCGATCCGGGGGAAGGGGCCGGGACTCCCACGGACCCCGCATCGAAAAAATCAGGACGTCGCATGCCTGGGAAGGCTCCTGGCCTTCTGAGAAATTTCCCTGAGCCTCCTCCGAAGCCACGGGCTGCTCAGAGGGCCAGCCGGCTTCTGAGAAGCCCCGCCGCCCTTTCCCGTTCCCCTAGAAGTCCCGACCCTTTCCCCTGGATCAGCTTCGCATCCTGATTCGTTTTTTGACGATCCGAAGGCCCAGAAAGCCCCCCCGGAGGCCAACAAGTGACAAGAAACCTCCCGTCGTGTTTTTTTGAGCAGCACGAGGGGGTCTGGGTCCGAAGACCAGGGGAGGCTTCTCAGAGGGCCAGGCGGCTTCTGAGAAGCCCCGCCGCCAGGCCTGCTCTGGAGGGTTTCTCCGAAGGGCTTAGGCGACCCGTCCTCCTCTCCCTCCTCCTCCGCCTCCTCCTTACTCCCTAACTCCCTTCCCATCCCCTGCCTCCTCTCCTCCCCTCCCTCCTCCTCTCCTCCCTCCTCATCTCCTCCTCAACCTCTCTCCCCCCTCCTCTTCCTCCTCCTCCGCATCCCCTCCCCCTCCATACCTCCCCACCCCCCTCCCCCCCCCTCATCCCCTCCCCTCCTCATACCTCCTCCTCCGCCCCCCCCCCCTCCCCCACCCCCCCCCCCCCTCCTCCTTATCCCCTCCCCTCCTCCTCTTCTCCCTCCTCCTCCACCTCCACCCTCTCCTCCTTCTCCTCCTCCCTCCTCATCCTCCTCACTCCGATCCCATCATCCCCTCCTCCTCCTCCCTCCTCCTCTCCTCCTCCTCCTCCTCTCCTCCTCCTCCCCCCTCTCCCCCTCCTCATCCTCATCCTCCTCCTCTCCTCCTCCTCCCCTCCTCCCTCCTCTTCCTCCTCCTCCCCTCCTCTCCTCCTCTCCTCCTGTCTTCTCTCCCTACCTCCTCCTCCTCATCCTCCTCCCTCCTTCTCCTCCCCTCCTTCTCCTCCTCCATCCTCCTCCTTTCCACCTCCTCCTTCCGCCTCCTCCTCCCTCTCCTCCTCCTCCTACTCCTCCTCCCCCTCTCCTCTTCCTCCGCTCCTCCTCTCTCCCCCTCCCTTCCTACCCTCCCCTCCTCCTCCTCCGCCCCCCCACCCTCCTCCTCCTCCTCCTCCTTCCTCTCCTCCTCCTTCTCCTCCCCTCCTCCTCCTGCCCCTCATCCCTACCGCCTCATAATCCTCTTTCTCCTCCTCCTCCCATCCTCTTCCTCGATCTCCTCCTCCTCCTCCTCCTCCTCCATCTCCTCCCCCCTCCTCCCCCCTCCTATTCCTCCTCCTCACTCACCCCCTCTCCCCTTCCCTCTACCCTCCTCCTCCTCCCTCCTCCTCCTCCTCCTCCTCCCTCCTACTTCTCTCCCCCTCCTCCTTCCTCCTCCTCCTCCTCCTCCTCCTCCTCCTGTCCAAGGTCGGCTCAGACCTGCGGGCCAGAGGGGGCCCGTTTTGCCTGAGCCCCCAGCCTTCTGCCCCAGGGGCGGAGGGCGTCACCACGGAGCGCGAAGGGCGCCGCCATAGGCTGCCCTCGCCCGCCTGGCACAGGCGGCTGCGGAGGCGGCGCGCCAGCGCGCGCAGCCTCCTGGCGCTCGAGCGCGCGAGGCGCGTACTACGGCACCACCACGGAGACGGTCATCTCGTGGCCATGGGTGCTGGCGACAGTGGCAAGGGCGGCAGGAGCTCAAGGCCATCGTCCCGCGCGCCATCGAGACCTCGGTCGGAGGGAGGCGAGTTCTGGCGTTGCTCGCAGGCAGACTGTCGTTGTGCCAAGAACCAGGCCCATTGGCGTTGGTGCAAGCATTGCGGCAAGGAGCGCAACGGGGGCGAGTCCAAGCCACCGTGGGCGCGTGATACGCCTCGTGGGGGTACTGGCAGGACTGGTGGTGCTGCTGGATCGCACGTCCCAGACCTCGGAGTGGATGCCATGCAGGCCCTCGTGGTGTTCGCTGAGCAGAAGGGGGACAAGCAGATGGCCGAGAAGTACCGAGAAGCCATCCGCATCAAGTCTCAGCCTGAGGCGCCCACAGCCCTTTCCAGGGACGAGCTGCGTTCGATGGTCACCATGGCGGAGAGATCAGGTGACAAAGCGACGGCGGCAAAGTACAAGCAGTTGCTGGAGCAGGCCGACAAGGGCTCGGAGGACAAAAAGCCCGCGCAGCTCAGGGCCAACAAGGCGCACGCTCGGCTGCGCAAGACGAAGGGGAAGCTCGAGACTGAGAACGCGGTGCTGGCAAACCTGCTGGAGCAGGTGGAGACGCAGAAGGCTCTGGTCTCCGAGCTGGTGTCGGAGCTGGACTCGGCCGAGAACGAGTACAGGGTCGCTGTGGCAGAAGTGGCTGCGGGGGTCAGCGGACAGGCCCCTGCGAAAGTGGAACCAATCAAGCTCTCGCTGGCAAAGCTCATGGACGGAGAGCTGGACGACATCGACCTGGAGGACGACGGGCTCTTCGGCTACACAGAGTTCGAGGAGCTCGGCACCGCGGCCTTGGAGGAGGCAAAGTCCAGGAAGAAGCAGATGTTGGAGTCGTTCAAGCAGATGGCGGGCTCTTTCTTCGGAGAGGTGCGCCAGAAGGGTCAGGCGCTGCAGGCCGAGCACAAGGTCATGCAGGAGAGGCTCGCGGCCAAGAAGCGGCGCACTGCAGAGGGAGACGCGGGAGACAGCGACGGGGACGGCATCGCGGGGGCGCAGGCTCCTGTGGCACCTCCTGTACAGCCTGAAGTCGCTGAGCCTGCAGGGCCTGCACGCGCTGAGGGTGACTCGGAGAAGCTCAAGGCCACCGCTCGGGCAGCCGTGGCAGCGGCGACCGAGGTGGCGAGTGGATGCAACGGCAAGGCAGAGGCTACCAAGCATTGTGGGTAGCGATACGAGAAGTATTCTGAGACACGGCGGCAGTTCGTCCAGAACTACCAGGGGATGTCGTGTGCGTTTCACCTACTGCGATATTGCGAAGACTGGCCTCCAGTCTGGGTCTACGATGCGTTCGGCTTCTGTGGCGGAGGCCAGACGTGGTTCCTCCTTTTGCTCGGCTTCGACGCCGCGCACTTCTCGGGCCCCCCCTCCGCCCCTGGCAGCCATACCTGTGGCCAGAGGCCCCCCAAAGGGGGCTAAGGGGGGGGGAGCGGCCCGCGCCGAGGGCGCGCCTGCGGGGGGTTCGCCAATGGGGGGTGCCACGTTCCCCTGCTCCCAGTCGGTCGGGGACGTTAAAGCTCTTGGCGTAAGCCATGCGCCTTCTGGGCAGGGCGAGGGCGCTACCCCAGCGGCGACACCCGCAGGTTGTATTGGGTCGACATCGGTGCCGACGGGTGCGCGGGTTCATCAGGCAGACGACTTTCAAGGCTCGAGGCGGGGAGCGAAGAGAGGTCGTTCGGTTACTCGGTCGAGTGCTGCGCCTGGGTGCTCGTTCACTTCGAGTGCGACTACGACGTGTGGGACATCGGGGTCGTCTTCGGCGGCTTCGGTAGCGCCTCCGTCGATGGCCTGCGGTTCGTCTACTGAGGAGCCTGCTGGAGGCAGGCTCCCCCCTCCGCTTCTGTGTGAGTTCAGCGCTGCCTGTGCTGCCAGTCACCCAGGGGTCCCCAGTCTCATCGGAGCCGCTAGCTCTTTCGACTTTCTGCAGGCCCCCCCAGAGCCGCCCTGTCCATCTGGTTTCGGTCTCATCGTGGAGAGCTGTAATGCCACTTGCTGGAACTCGTTCAAAGAGTGGCTCAGCAACACGACGGCGCACATTATTTGTCTGCAAGAGCACCACATCGTCAAGCCCACTGCACTGAGGGAGGCAACGTCATGGTGCAGCCGTCATGGATGGAAGGCGATACTTACCCCTGCTATTGCTGGTCAAGGTGAGGGCTCGTCTGGGGGAGTCGGCATCCTGGCGCGGGAGTTCCTGGGGCTGCATGAGCCTCTGTGGGGCTCCTCGCTTTCGGCTGGCCGTCTCATCAACGCCTTGGTTCATCTTCCTGGGGATGTGCCGTTTTTGGTCCTGTCGGCGTACTTACACGATAGTGAAGGTTTGTCAAGCAGGAACCTCGACCTACTCAGTACCGCGGGGGCTACTGTGAAGATGTCGGGGCACCAGGCCATTCTTGGAGGCGACTGGAACATGTCTCCTGAAGCCCTTCTTGAGTCGGGTTTCCCTGAGAAGTTGGAGGGGTCTCTGATCAAACCTGCTGGCTCTGGGACCTGCAGATCGTTGGGAGGTCTGAACTTCCTGGATTATTTTGTGTGCACTGGGGGCATTGCGAAGGGCATTCAGTCGACGAGCATAGTGCAGGTGGCGCAGCTGACACCGCACAAGCCCGTCCATCTGCAACTTTTTCCTCGGCTTGCTCAGCTGTGCGCGCTCACGTTCCGTAAGCCACCGCCCATTCCCAGAGAGAGGCCGATTGGGGTCGGCCGCTCACCGCCAGACTGGGGTGAGGTGCAGGACGCTGCTGAGGGGTGTTTAGGTACGGCGCTCTCGGGCCAGATCTCGGAGGCTCAGGAGAGGCTTGATTGGGTCTATGGGCGTTGGGCGGATTTGGCCGAGAGGGAGCTTTGCGACTTAGCCCAGATCACGCTGCCCTACTATGGTGCCCGCAGTAAGTCACCGCAACTGCATTGGGTTCCCATCATCAAGGACAAGGCCCCCCCGTTCAGGCACCCCAAGTTGTTCGCGGGCAAGTGGGTGTATCACAGGTTCCAGGACCTGATCATCGAGTTTAGGGAAGGAGCTCTGGAGGCCTCGAAGACCAGGGAGTCCCTGTTGAAGCCCCCGTCCTTCGTGCTTATCGTCGGCTGCGTTGAGTGGGACCAGTATCTCAGCACGATTCAGTCCTTTGCTCGAGCCGTCCCCGTCGGCAAGATCACCAGCGGGGAGTGCCAGCAGTTGGGCAAGTCCGAGTGGCTGGAGGCTGCTCAAGATGCTTTGGTTTTAGTGCAGCAGTATGTGACCAAGCTTCAAGGAGAAGCTCGTCTTGACGGCGAGATGGGGTGGAAAAACTGGCTGCTCACAAAAATCAAAGAGGGGGGAAAGAATGCCCACCTGGCCTCCAAGGAGGCCCATGGTTGGAAAGCTACCACGACTTTATCGGCCGGGGGTTTGGTGCTTTCGGACCCTTTAAGTTTGCTCAAGAGCGAGGCCTCTGGCTGGGCCGAGCTGTGGCACGCGGGCTCTGAGGCGCCCGACTGTCTGTTTGAAGGGGTATGTCAGCCCCTCCCCATGGTTTCGATCGACCAGATTAGGTCGACATCTGCCGCTTTCAAGGCCACCACGGCACAGGCGGTGGATGGGTTTCACATGAGGCACTACTCGTGGCTGTCGGACTCGGCGCTAGCGGTGGTGAGCCTCCTGTTTGCGATCTTCGAATCGCTCTCCAGCCTGCCGCGCCAGCTCCAGATTACTCAGGTGGTGCTTCTCTCTAAAGCGTCGGGGGGATATCGGCCCATTGGGTTATTTGTTTCCCTTTATAGACTTTGGGGGAAATGCAGAAGGGAGCTGGCGGCGGAGTGGGAAGCGAGGAATGCTAGGATATTCTTTGCTGGCAGTTCTTTCGCTTGCGCGGCCGACACGGTGTGGCGGCAAGCGGCCCGAGCCGAGCTCAGCACCAGGAAAGGGGAAGTCTCGGCCATGCTTTTGTGGGATATGACTAAGTTTTATGAAAACTTTTCTCACGAAAGACTTGTGGCTGAGGCTCGTAAGTTCGGTTTCCCCACGGCCATCACCCAGTTGTGCGTCTCTGCCTACAGGTACGGGAGGTTTGTGAGCATGGCCTCGGCGGTCGCTGGGCCTTTTTTCGCGCGTCGTGGAGTGGTGGCTGGTTGCTCTATGGCCACTTCCCTGGTTCGGGTTTATCTCCTGGGTCCTTTGAGTAATCTGAACCTTCCTCGGGGAGTTTTCCTGGCTCAGTTTATCGACGACTCGGGTCTGGACTCCACGGGTTCGGCCCTGGATGTTTCCTGGGGTATAAAAGAAGGTTCTCGGCAGTTGGAGCAGGCTCTGGTCCACGAGTGCGGCTGCTCCATTTCTTTGTCCAAGGCGGGCCAAGGCAACCTCGTTTGCTCGGACGGGGCCGTCGCCAGGGAGCTGCAGATTTTCCTAGGCGACCGCACGGGCCCGTTGGCCGACAGCATTGTGAACTTAGGCATAGATTTCACGGCGGGCAGGTCTCGAAGGAAGGCCTACATCCGACGGGCCCTCCGCGAGTCCAAGTTCAAGATCCGCATGGCCAACTTGAAGGCCAAGTCACGGAAGGTGAGGATGATGAAAAAACAGATCACCTCCCACGCCAAGAGAATCTGGGTCTCTGGTCCGCTCCCTGGGGTGCTGTATGGGTCGGAAGTCCACGGGATTTCGGATGGGGAGCTCCACCGTATTCGGCAGCAGGCAGGCTCCGTGATGGGGCCAAGCTGTAAAGGTAGATCGCTCACAAGCCTGCTTATCTTAGAAGATGAGCCTACGTGGCTCGCGGCGGTGGCGCCCCTTGTCAGGTACTCGAAGGAGCTGTGGTGTGCCCACTCAGGTGCATACCGCTGGTGTTTCAGTTTCACGGAGCTGCGCGAGGCGTGGAGTATCTTCTTCGCCAAGCCCCCGCCAGCGACGTGGAGGGATGTCACGGGGCCTTTCTCCGCGTTGTACATGTGTCTTAAGAGGATCCAGTGGAAGATGATTGACTGGGTCTCCTGGGAGAACGATTTCGGGGAGAAGTTAATTTTGACGGAGGTTAGTCCTGGGCTTCTGAAAATATTGTTGCGTCAAGCTGTCCTTCGGAGTTTGGAGCGAGTTGCTGCTCAAAAATCGGTCCTGGAGGTCCCTCGCCTGTGCTTCGATGTGCTCAAGAGGTCCCTGCACTCTAGCAAGTTCTCACCTGCTGGCAAGGCGGCGATCCGTCTGATAGGATGCGACGCCAGTTGGACCCGAGTTCGTGCGCGCTGCCTTGGCTATCAGTTGGAGTCGGTGGAGTGTCCTCTGTGCGGTCAAGGGCCAGACACGCTGCTCCACAGATTGTGGCGCTGCGAGGCATGTGCCGAAGAGCGTGCAGAGATTGTTTCAGACGAGTGCCAGAAGCTAGTGGACGACATGGACAGTGAAAACCCCCAAGACCTACTCCTACTTACCCGCGGTATCTTTCCTCACCCAGGGGACTATTGGCCGAGGCCAGACAAGGAGTGTAAGACCGTGTGGCAATGGGAGGAGGATGTCACGGAGGAGGACGGCATGGTGAGGGGGGAACTGTTCTTGGACGGCAGCTGCACCAGGTGTATCGTGCCAGAGCTTAACAGGGCGGCCTGGGGTCTTGCGATTTACGATCGGGCTTTCAGGTTCCTAGGTAGAGTTTTCGGCACTGTTTACGCGGGGCTCCCCCAAACCTCTCAGGCTGGGGAGTTTGCCGCCTTTGGCTGTTCCAGCCAAGTAGTAGAAGATGACTGTGATATGTACACGGACTGTGCCAACGTTCATGTACAGGCCAACCGACCCCTGGGTGAGCAGCTACACTACCAGAGGCCCTATGCGGGGCTTTTGTTGCACAGTCAGAGAGTGTCACACCACATTAAATCGGTGAACAAAGTTAAGGCCCACTTGTCCCTCGAAGAAGAGAATGTGCCCGAGGGAGAGATGCAGCTTCGTAGAGGAAATTTCCAGGCTGATC